ATAGGGTGCTGGAATATATCCTGTGCCATGCAAACAAATGTTAATTACTGCCAAATAAGAAATTATTGATTATATCCAAATCGATCTTAAAATTACTACATGTTTTCTATAACTTTATTGGGTTTTTTTTTTCCCTTTTTTCCAGGAGATAACAGAGGATGATTTTCATCTAAAATCAAAACAAAATCGACTCAAAAACCATAATTACCTGTTTATTATATGTTATTATAAACTGGGAGGGGGGTTCATATTATTATCTATTAATTAGGAATGTTTAAAAATAAATAGTCTAAGTCTATCTTTTCTACTCGCTGGAACATTGAGCAATTAAACGTCACATGAAGTGGGTCATTGACCCGTTTTCTCCATGTTTACACAGTTTATTGTTGAGGTTTCTTTGAGTTTAGCTCCATCTTCCGGTCACTCTCGCGCCACTCCGCTCTATCTCGCGCGCTGTCACCGGAGGGAGGGGGGGGGATCACATGCTCCCCAGCAGACCAATCAGAGGCGAGGATTCCCAGGAGGCGTCCCGTTGCCATGAAGCTGTGGTGAAACTTGTAGCAGGTCTGGACGGCAGCTAGGGTAAGTTCTGCACACAACAGAAAATAAAATAAGTCGCTGCTAAATCAAATAACCAGGAAATTAACTAATTAATTTATCAAATAGAACATATATGTTGAATTATCGTCTCATTAGCTTGTTTTTACACAGTCTGTGACCTACAGAGAAACCGAACTTGATGCAAAACAGGAGGAACTTTTGGGCGATATTAGATTTTCCTCCTTTTAAAGCCAAAATAAAGTCGTTTAATAGCTTAAAATCCTGCACAGCAAGGAAACAGAAAACATCTTTCTTCTTCCAGAGGTTCCACACAGCTGAAGTTTCGATAGTAACTCAGCTAGAGAAGGACACGCCCCTCGCCGGGTGTCTGTCCAATCCCCAAGCGGCTCGCTGTGCCATCAGCCAATCAGCGCAGCTATGCTAATGTCTGTCTGAGGGACTGTTGTAATGTGAAGTTACCAGATTTATCTGTCAGTTGCAGCGCTGTGGAGCACAGACCAGGAAGGCTCCAGCTAAGCTCGGTTGTTTTTAATTTTTAAAAGACGGAGGATTTGGATTTAATGTACAAGATGACATTTGAGGAACTAAGTGGGGATTATTCTCAAGAAAGGTGAATATTGTTGCTTATGCATGGTTTGTTTCACCCGCTGGCTGCTGATCTGCAGAAGTAAAGTTGTTTTATAATAAGTTAAACAGAAGTAGAACTACTTTTTAGGGGCTTTAAAGTGGCTTTAAAACAATTTTTTATATTGTTTTAAGGAACTTCAGCCTTAATATACTCATATAACAATAGTTGTGTTTTATAATTGCAAGCAGGATGTCAGGTGTTTTGTCCAGGCGAGTTTCTTTCTGCTTCATTTTCACTTTTCACATCAGTTTCCATTGACTTCACCTCGTTAGCTTGTATGCAAAGGACTCTAAAGTGATTAAATCATTAAATATCACCTCTGTTATGCAGCATCTATAATTATTTCAACCAATAATAAATGATCAAACTTTAGTAAGGTGTTTCAAAAAAGTTTTTAAAAAAATCCACTTTATACAGCTTTATAAAGCCTGGAACTCAACGCTATTTCTGACATTTTGAATTGAAAAAGCTTCCGGGATGGGAAGAGAAACATCTTCAAACTTGTTTTTTTTTACTTTTTTGGAATGACGATGACCTGGATGCTTGGGAATCTTCACCAGCATCAGAGCTGGTGTCTATTTTGAAATGCTTTGCTGTATTAAAGGCAAGCAGCTACTAATTTTTCATTTTTCATAGTCAGATTTTTAAACTGGACTTTTCTGCATTTCCAAAAGGATTCTATGAAGCTGTTTTGAATCTATCATTTATTAAAAGCAGTTAAAAATCAATTAATCAATAAAAAAAAGCTTCCTGGATGGGAAGCGAAACGTCTTCACTGCAAAAACGATCTAGAAATAAGTAAAGATTTCTTAAATTAAGTGTTTTCACCCTTAATTTGAGCAGGTAAATGAGATAGTTTGCCAATGGAATGAGTATTTCTTACTCTTAAAATAAGATAATTAGATAATATGCACTTGAAAATAAGACAATGCAATTGTGTTTTCTTATTTTAAGTGTAAATTGTCTTGTTCCATTGGCAAAAAGTCTCTTTTACCTCCTCATTTTAAGAACAAATGCACTTATTTTAAGAAAAAAGGACTTATCTAGATTTAGATTTTTTGCAGTGTTCAAACTTGGAAGCAAATTCCAGTGGATTGTTTTTAACTTTTGGATCATTAGTTTACTTAAAATTCAGTGTAATGGAGCATCTCTGTGAGGAAAGGAGTGACCTCTACTTGACGTAACATCTTTCACAAGCTGGAGGTCAATGTAAAAGGCAGACGGCGCGCCTGCAGCGACCTAACGCTGACTTTGTTTCTGTGCAGAATGGATACGGTGGCGAAAGCCCTGGAAGAAGTCCTCACCGCTGCCTTGCCACAGGGCTGCATCACAGTCGGCGTCTACGAGGCGGCCAAGTCCCTCAACGTGTGAGTACAGAGTCCCACCGCTACAGGTGCAAAGGTGTCTCAAAAGAAGGACGTTTTCCTCCTGACTGTCATCCTTTTCTGTCCCTCAGAGACCCGGACAATGTGGTGCTGTGCATCCTGGCCACCGACGAGGACGACGTCAAAGACGTGGCCCTCCAGATCCACTTCACGCTCATTCAGGCTTTCTGCTGCGAGAACGACATCAACATCCTGAGAGTCAACAACACCCACCGCCTGGCGGAGATCTTGGGGGGAGGGGGAGGGAAGCAGGGCGGCGGGGAACCTCTGGACCTGCACTGCGTGCTCGTCACCGTAAGTCACTTTCACTCTTTGAGCTCCTGGTTCTGGAGCAGCAGCTCGCCCACGTGACTGAAACTCGTACTCAGAGGGAACATGTCTGCGCTTGTCCTCTGATAAAAACTTTTACAGCTCCTCCTTCATGTGTCTTCTGAAGAATTTCATAGGGAGCGTATGTTTATGCTCCCTTATTTCAGATCTGCTTCTGCTTTCTGAAATATGCAGGTTACTGGGATTCCTTGTGTAATAATGACCCAGTTGTATGTTTAGCTTGTTGTTTTTAATCGTTTCCTGTCCGTATTCTTTCTCTAATCTGGTCTAGTTTCACTGCAGCGTCAAAACAGATTTAATCTACAAAAACGAGAAACCCTCCTAAAGCAACTTTTAATTTTTTGAGAAAGATAAAATCTAAGGGGTCAAATAGCTCTCAATAAAAACATGGTGTCAGAATTTTTAAGTTTAAGTCAATAATGTAATTAATTTTAAGATTTCTATTTGCTTATTGTTTATATCTCATACATGTGACGTCAGATGTTACATCAACAAGGATTCAAGTTTAGGGCTGCAACTAACGATTATTTTGCAAATCGATTAATCTGTCGATGTTTTCGATTAATTGATTAATAATCGGAATGTCAAAGTTTTCTTAAAGAAGATTTTTATGAATTTAAACCAGGTGATGCTAAAACGAGTATTAGGGCCAGGCTAAGGATTTTTTTTCAATTATGAGAGTAAAGTGATAAGATTATGAGAATATAGTCATAAGACTATGAGAATAAAGTTTTAAGATTACGGGAAGAAAGTTGTAAGATTACGGGAAGAAAGTCGTAAGATTACGGGAATAAAGTCGTAAGAGTACAAGAATAAAGTCGTAAGATTACGGGAAGAAAATCGTAAGATTACGAAAATAAAGTTGTAAGATTACGAGAATATAGTCGTAAGATTACGGGAATAAAGTCGTAAGAGTACAAGAATAAAGTCGTAAGATTACGGGAAGAAAATCGTAAGATTACGAAAATAAAGTTGTAAGATTACGAGAATAAAGTTGTAAGATTACAGGAATAAAGTCGTAAGAGTACGAGAATAAAGTCGTAAGATAACGGGAAGAAAATCGTAAGATTACGAATATAAAGTTGTAAGATTACGAGAATATAGTCGTAAGATTACGAGAATATGGTTGTAAGATTATGAGAATAAAGTCGTAAAATTGCGAGAATATAGTCGTAAGATTATGAGAATAAAGTCATTATATTGCGAGAATATAGTTGTTAAATCACGAGAATAAAGTCCTAATATTATGAGAATAAAGTCGTATTTTATGACAACTCCTCCAAGAAGCCCTTTCTTCCCTAAAATGAGGAATGTGGAGCATCATGTGAAGTTCTACTTTAGCATCGATTTCACCAATCAGGAAATCTTTTAGCAGCAGCATCAAACTGGGCAGGATGTCAAAGTGGACTCTGGTTGCTGATTGGTGGAGCGGGGCTTGAAGCGAATTCTTGCTGAATCGGGTTTTGGTCGTAATGTTACGACTTTATTGTCATAATAAAAACATTTTTAAAAATCTCCAGCCTGGCCCTAATACTCCGTCCTTGGATAAAGCAGATTGACAGACGAAAAAGTTTTTTGTCGTAAAAGTTAAAAAATAAGTTACGTTTTTTTTTAAAGTGTAACTGCGTCACTCTGTGAGCTAAAGGCGCGTTTCACAGTCTCTATACTCCAATTAATGATCCATTACTAAATTAATTGAAGATCATTTAATAATCGATTAATTGTTTCAGCTCTAATCAAGATTCAAAATTTCAAATATCAATTAAAGTCACAACTTTAAAACAAGACAATCACACGTCACACATTTTAAACAAATAGTCTTTAAAAACAAATAAGAGATTTATAACCTCAGGGCAAAGTTTGATGCACAAATTACACATTTACAAGTAGAAATCACAAATTTTACTTCTAAGAGAAAACCACAATTTATATTTAATTTTAAATTCAGAGGAACCAATAGTCGCGACAAGGAGAAATGAAAGTTGTACATTTATTTACCAATATATAGACTATATGTAGAGGTTTTTATTGAACCAAGCAGATAAGCTGCAACAGACAGAGTTTGGTGGAAAAGCCAGAATAGAAAATGTTACATAGAATTTAATAAAATATAAAGCTCCTATTTGAACTTCTCAGCGAGGAGATTAAAACGTGTTTCCTTCTCGATATTTTTCAGAGCCCCCACTCCTCATCATGGAAGGACCCGGCTTTGAGCAAACTCAGCCTGTTCTGCAGAGAGAGCCGCTGCATGGATCAGTGGGTTCCCATCATCAACCTGCCCGAGCGATGAGCTCGGCCCCCGAAAACCCCCCCGGCCTGTCCAGAACCAATCATAATGAATCTGCACAGGAAGAGTGCTTTAAAAGAAAAAAAAAAGTCCTGCTGCACCGCCAGCTGGTGAGAGAAGAAAAAAAAAGACGGGAATAAAAAAAAAACGCTGAGGACACGTTTAAAAAAAAAAAAATCTCCACTTTGAGCTGGGTTTTTCGTTTGGAATTACGTCCGTTGGCGAGCGAGAAGAGACGGCGAATGACGGTGATACCGTTTGCTTCTCGACTTGATCACCGTGGCTCCGATAAGGATCGTGTCGTTTTCGGCGAAGTCTCAGCCACGAGTCGAAGGAGCGGGGAGGAAGCGGCGCACGGAGCCGTCGGTCAGACTAAGACCGCAGTCTGTCTGCAGAACCGAAGCACTTGTTGAAACACTGGACTTTAATTTATGCATCACAGCTGTTCATGTTGACTTCCATGTTCATGTTATTTCAAAAGGGAAGGGAAGCATCCAGTGAAGACATTCTGTTTGTTTCTAGATCTTTTTAACCAGCTGGTTTCTTTACAAGTGAAGTAGTACTTTTGTTCAATTATTAAGTTATTCCAATTATATTTATGCATATTTATGTTATATGAATTTTTTTTTTTACAATTTTTGCAATATCTGAGCACCAGACCAATGTTTTATTGTCAATAAAATTTTTCTGTGATACCAATTTTTAAAGAACGTGTCGACTGATTCTTTATATTTCACACTGAAATCAATTCAATTCAGTTTATTTCTATAGCGCCAAATTCATAACAC